GAGGGACCGGTGCCACGCAGGCACACAGGGGACATGACGTGCAATTCTCTGCAATCTCTGACCCTTCTTTCAAGAGCGACTGCCCCGTGCAGCCGCCCTGCAAGCATCCTTCGCAGACCTTATAAGCAACAACCAATCGAAGGGGTCTTGTTGGGCCTGATACTGGTACAAGACTCTGCATCATCTTCCCCCCCCCCCCTGTTGCAGGTGTGTGAAGCGGGTCAAGGCTGCCTTGAAGGCGGAGGTCAGGAAGCCACGCGGTGTGTGCCCAATTGCGACACACAATTCTGCTCCGAAGGCCTCAGCAAGAATCCACTTTCTGAACCCTTCATTCGCTTGTCCACTCAAATCCTTAAGCCCGAGGCCCAAGCCTCCCATCGCAAGATCCGACAGGCACGAACAGAGGAGTCAACGTTCTCTGCGACGATATCAACGGCTGCACCGAAGCAACTTGTTGTGAGGTCCGCTGCGGTGATGACGGGGACGTGTGCGATGGAGTCGGCTTGACCCAGGATTTTGCCCCTGGCAATTCTAGTCTATAGGACGTTTTTATGAGATGGGCCAGAGAACTGTTCAGACGACTGACCCTGTAGGACGTCAACCAGACAACCACCGAGTGTCAAACCGGTTGCACTCCTGCGCTCTGCTGCCAGAAGACATGTGTCGGCCACGAATGCGGCGCGCGCACGCCCAGAAGCTCTCCCGACCAGATTGTCTGTGGTGCAGGCGATGCTACTTGCACAAACGATCAGTGTTGCGAGGAGGCGGTGGTCCCCGACCCCGAGCCCGACACTGCGACTTGTGCAACGTTTTCGTCCTCGTGCACTCTTGGCGATGTGAATCCGAGCAAGACGTGTGCAGCAGCCACGTGCACACCGGATGACTGCTGCGATGTGAGCTGCTCGCAAGGCAACCCATGCTCAGGTGCCGGGTTGAGTCCCAACGCCGCCAATGCAGGCCAAGTTTGTGGAACTCCTACCAACACAAACGGATGCTCAGATGGACTTTGTTGCGTGGCAGATGATCCGGCTCCAACCGTGCCGACTTGCTCAACCTTTCCTTGCCATGGGCTTCGCTGGGTCCCAGACCCTTCAAAGGCCGACGTGGTGTGTGGACCGTCTGGCTTCTGGGCGTTTGATTTTCTCTTGGGTTTCTTTGCGGAGAAGCCTCGCTCTCATGTGTTGCACGAGGGTCCAGCACAGCTCAGGCTGCAACATGGAGACTTGTTGCAGGTTCCGCCGCCTCCGCAGGCGCCGTCATTGGAGTCAGAATGGAGGCGGCTCCGGTTACTACAGCTACTACGCGGATGAGTCAGAGGACGGACCGGAAGATGTTGAGTCCCTGCATCTCCGGTCCCACCCCCACAACTCCCACAGCTGCAAAAGGCAGTGGCAGCGGTATCGTAGAGTCGATTACATAGCGGGAGGATGCGGGAGGTCTGTCGATGCTCTGCCTTGAGAGTCCATCTATCTTTGTCCGCGTGTTGGGAGGGGGGGGCGGGCCCGTGCAGTCTAGATGTGGCCTGCAGGAAACCGGCTTTCTGCAGGAGGCTTGGTGCCACCAGAGTGAGGACTGCGAGGACTACGAGGAATACGAGGACGACGCAGAGCTCTGAGCACTGTTTTTGGGTGGATTCATTCGACCGAAGGTCGCTTCACCCGACAAGTGTCACTGTTTGAATGCGAGTTCGACTCGTTCAGTGGCTCAAATTTTGTTTGAAATGTTCAGACCGTTGGCTAGCACTGGTGGTATTCCCACTAGCACTGGTGGTATTCCCAAGCGGTGTGCTTCATTGCCGTTCCTGGAATGTCAGGAAAACTTTTAAAGGCAAAAAAAAGGGTTCCTACAGTCCTTTCTGAGCAAGGCTTTTACTGCTCATCTCCACGGGACTCTAGGACACCGGAGGCCCCAGGCCACAGCAGCCTCCCCTCGAAGAGGACGGAGTCGTGCGAATCAAAAGGTGCCGTGCGTGCTTCGTGTCCAGCACAGGGTCGACATGTTGGACTGTCGAATTGGTCCTCATTGATGATGTGCCTGGGACTTTGGGACAGCTAGATTGAGCTTTCGTGCCTCGTAGCATCATTCGATTCGATCATGTCGAACTACCATATTTACTAGCGGTGGCTTTGATGCAACAGGCGCAAAGTAGTTAGAGTGCAGCACGTATGGTGTTGTACATGGGTGAGATGTTGAAAAGGTCTCTATCAGTGTAGGCCCCTAGCGACTATGCCAAACCAGCCTGCAGACACAGTTTACCCTTATTCTTTGTACCACGCAAAAGCAAATGCTTGCAGATGTATCGCGCATCTTGGTGCCTGTCGACACGCAGACATCAAGCAATTCCGCGATTTGTTCCGATGTACATGTGGTGTCGACACTGCCCCGTAAGCTATAGCTAAAGCGCCCTGAGTTTGCAGCCGGCTGGGGTTCGCGACTGCCCGGCGATCTCTTGGGCGAGGCCGGAAGTCAAAAGTTTGAAATCACCGAGCTGGTAGCCGGGCTCGGTCAGCATCTTCGGCTGCTTGATAGTGGCTGCAGCCGTGCTTCCTGGAGCACCAGAGAGGATTCCTTTCTTCAGATTTGCAGGTGCTGGGCCTGCTAGGATGAAGCAATGGGCAGCGGCGTTCCTCGCGCTGACGGGCTTCTGCAACTTTCGCTTTGCATTGGCTCAGACAGACGACCATGGGCATGACCACGGGCATGACCATGACCATGGAAGCGGGGCTTTCGAGTGGGCAGGCATCTTCGACACTCCAAACAACAATCACCTCTGGACGGCGCAGAAAACCGACGGTGGCTATGCCGATCCGACGCTGAAGATGGGTGCTCTGCCCACCGCGACGGTCAGCCAGCAGGCGCTGAGCGACTTGGAGGCCCAAGGAGAGACGGCCATGGAGGCCACGGATTCGACTTGTACAAGGGTGCAGTCAGGAGGCACCATCACCCCAGCTGCCAACACTTTCTACATTTTGGAATTCCAGTCGAGTGCATGGCAGTCTCTTTTCAACATCGATGCAAGCGCCACCTCTGGGATCGGCTTCTTTACAAATCATGGGGCCAACTCTTATTGCCGAACCTGACCGGGGTCTGGTGAGCCGCAGGCTATTGCAAGACGCTTATGAATTTGCATGGGGAAGTTTTGGAGTGGTGATTACTCCCTTGACCACATTGCACGGATGCCACAGGTTTGGCTTGAATCAGCAGAGCAGGCTTCTGCAGGCAAGGTCGTCCATTCGCGGGTTCCTTGCATGCTGTGGCCGGGGCAGTGAACGCCTCATCTTCCAAGGTGGGAGTCCTGCGCTGCGCTGGACTAACGGAGCCTGGCCAAGAGTCGAGGACAAAATGTCGAGGCGTCGGTCCAAAGTGGCCCCACTGTGTAAGCATGCCTGCTTGTGCGCCGCTTGTTCCTAATAGCGACCGATGAGTACCGTAGACAGTTGTGAAATACTGCGCACCGCGCTTGAGTCGACTTTGAAAGCTGTATCAACAACCACACTTGAAGGGGCACTTGAACGGCACTTGTCTCAATTCACACCGCTGGGAGTTCATCGTTCCGACTTTTCGATCGTGGTACTTGTTTTCCCGACGCAAAGAGTTCCAAGCACTTAGCTCCAAGTCACAACTAAGCTTCATTGTCGGGGTTGGCAGACTTTGGCTTTGAGGCTTTCGGGCTCAAAGATCCGTGAAGTCGCACAGCCCTTCCGTGCTCGGGGCCCTGACACGCTCCAAACCCAGCAAGCCTACGACACTTGGAGAAGCTCATAAACCTTAAACCCTAAACCCTCATAAGCACGTCTTGACAAATCAAGTTATGGCTCGTGGCCGGCACCTTTGCGCCACCGCCGTGCTTCTGCTGGGCACCTTGCAGGGAGGCGGGCCGGCCGAAAACTGAAAACTTGCGGTTCTGGTTCGTCTGGGTCGTCGGTTCTGAATCCGAAGCTCTTTGCATGGCCGGCTAGACATGCGAATTTACAAAGTTTTGGGGCGAAAGTCAACGGACTGAGCCCAATCCGAGGGTCTTTTGAGCGTTTTGCGCCGGAAAGGTCAAAGTTGCGACCAGATCCTCCCTGCAGCTTCCGCCCAGGCCCGTTGCTGGGACCTTTCGGGGCTTCAGGGTCTGGGACGTGTTGTTGAGTCTTCGGGGCAACTCAATCAACTGCAGTTTAGGGCTTGGAGCTTGCAGTGCCAGACCGGATCATTCAGGAACGAAGACACCCGGGATTTGAGCCTGTGCTTGGGGGTAGGGTTCGGGAATTTCGCCTGGGTCCGAGGTGTTGATTTGGAATGTGGGGCAGGGAGGGTTCGGGGCTTGGATCGGGGTGCGCAAGCCCCAATTCCAGAGCCAGGAAAACTAACCTCTGAACCCTGGGCCCTAGACCCTAAACCGTTTATTCTTGGGTTTCAGGCCTTCGTTGGTTCTGTTTGGGCCTAGCACTTAGGGCCTCTTCGGTTTGCCCACTCTCTGAAGATCAAACTTGCCCGACAGCTTTGTCCTTTTCAACCCTCAAAAGGGGCCCTTATTGCGTAAAAGGATCGGTTTCGGATGTAGGGGTTCAGCAGTTGAAGCTTGCCCTAGACTCTGTATCCGAACATGCAGAGGAGTGGGCTTCGGCTTGTTGTGCAAAGCCCGAACCGAACCTTAAACTCTAAACTCTAAGTCCAGGTGAACTACAACACCATCACCCGACGCTTGGATCTTGTCGCATGAATATTAGTGTGGAAGGTTGACGGTCCCGAAGGTTTTTTTGGTTTTCCGATTACGAAACCGCAACTCACGATCACTCATCCCTGAACTCAGGCTGCTTGCAAGACCAGCAGCAAGCGACACTGGCATCGGGCACTTTCCTTTTGCCACATGGCATTCGGCTGCCAGCGCGGCTCGCCTCAAGCTCCCTTCCCAAGCCTTCATTCCGTGAGCTCGAAACCTAACATTCCAGACCCCAAATTGGAGGCATGTGGGCTTCGAGCTTCGGGGCGGCCAGTCGCAACTTCTGAACTCCCATGGTCTTGCATCTATAGGAAGCTGAATGCCGCCAACCCTGCAGAGACCAACGCAAGCAATCACGGGTTCAGGGGAAACTAGTTGCCGGTTTAGGGATAAGAGGGGTTAGGACAAGTGCCCCAGGAACACGAGCCTCTTTGGTGCACCACCCAATGCGACGGTTCCGCAGCTAACGACGCGGCTCGTGCTGGCCGTGCCAACCGCCATCACCCACTACATCCTGCGATTAGGCGGCTGGGACGGTGTGTGTGTGTGTGTGTGTGTGTGTGTGCGTGTGTGTGTGTGTGTGTGTGTGGTCACCCCCCCGGCGAACAAGCATCTAATTCTTCAAGCACAGGAGGGACGCGCCAGAATCTAAAGTCCTGTCACAATAGAGTTTTGGGACATTGGGACATTGAAGCCCGAAGGTCATGCCGCAGCCTAACGGATGGCGCCAGTTATTGTTATACGTAAGTCTTGCTTTACTCATTTTGTTAAGTTTGGGGGTTTTGTCAGAATCCCCACCGAATCTTTCATCGTGTGCAGCCGACATTTCACATGAGTCCTCCTTCGTCGCTGCAGCAACGAGCCGAAGAACTTGAAAGCTCATAGCCCAGAGCCCCCAGTCCTGAACTGTCTCTCCGATCTCGTATGGCTTGCACGCCGTTCGAGATTCGGGCTTACGGAACCTATGAAGATTGCAACTCAGTATCAGAGGTACAGTGCCCAAGGGATCCAAACCCTAAACCCCAGACCGCAAGTACTGAGCCCAATTCGCCGCCAAAGCAGGCTCGCACTCGGAAGTCAGCTGGCTGTCCGTGGATGTCCAGGAGAATTTGCTGGGTGACGGCTGCTGTAAGTGCCTGGGCTACTGGTTTTTCGTGCCATTCCAGACGGGTTTTCACGTTTTGGAGGGCTTAGGGGTGCATTGATCAGAGGGTATCATCAAGCATTTTGCCAAGGCTTTAGGTTGTCAGAACTTTGAGATGTAAGGGCTGTTGGTTCAGGGCTTTTGGATTTGGGGTGACTTCTCCAGTGATTCAAAAATAACAGATGGTTTCCCTGCTATTGGCATGATTGTTGGAGTGGCTGACGGAATGAGCCGGATTGTTTTGCCACCGCGCAGAATAGCCTGACGCATTTGATAAGAACGAGTATGAGTGCCGGGACTACGATAACACTTCAGACGAGTACTGATCAAAGACCGCTTCGAACAGCTCGTCGTCGTCGTCGTCGTCGTCGTAGTAGTAGTAGTAGTAGTAGTAGTAGCCCTGCCACCCCAGAAGGAGCTGGGTTTGGCTGCCACCCTGCCCGTGGTTGTGCGGGTTTACTCACTGCCCTTTTAGGTGCGTTGTCGGGATCTATGGCAACTTCTCGCAGGTCTCCTATGTGGAGGCCCGACGCCTCCATACACACCCCCAACAAGCTGGAGCGCTGTTCTTGGGGGGGGGCTTCCGGTCGATGGCGAAGGAGTAAGACTGTTTGCTGGGACTGGGCTTCGTCTTTTCGCACGGCTGTGCATCGCACCTAGGTCAAGGAGTCAAGGCGTTCGGATGCGTTAGAGAAATTCAGTGTTAAGGTTTATAGTGGAACCGAAGAAAAGAATAAGTTGTGTCTCTATATTTGGGGTGGAAGGTGCAGGGTGTACGGTAAACGGTTTAGGGCTTAGGGTTATTCGGTTTAGGGTATGTTTTGGCATGGGGTTTTAGGGGTTTTGGGGGTCCTTGCACGTCCTTTCATCCTGGAGCTGGGCACTCTCCAACTCCGGGTCTGTGAGGCCATGGGTACCAGAACTGGTGTGGGCGTGTACTTCGCGAGCCCCACCTCCCACAGCAATGCCGTGTGGGAGACCGACGTGTGGAGTTCAAGTTTCAGGGCTTCCCCATGTACGATGAGCTTCGGGTTTTGGGATCATAGGTCCTAGGCCCAGCCCCGGATCCTGAACCCTGGACCCTCAACGACCCTCAAGGCCTCGAGGGGTCCGTTTTCTGGGGGCTCCTTTTGGGGGCCCTTCCTTCCTTCGGCCCTGGGCTCTCTGGTTGGAGGGAGGAGGCCACCTTTTCGTGGCTTGGGGTTTAAGGCAGGGATTCCGCCCTCTGAGAGTTTAGGGCTCCACGTTGCAGGAGCTGCTTTGGAGTTCGGGGATTTGCGGTTTGAGGATGCAGGATTGGAGGATTCAGGGGACGTTGAGGGTTCAACTTTTCTTGTCGTGATGGTTCCGGAGGCGTAGAGTGCAAAGGTGCTTTGGTTGGCATCTGGGGTTGAGGGTTCACGGCTTGTGATCTGCAGCATGCGAGAGAACTAACCTTCGGCAGTTGTTGTTTTCGAGGGTCTTTTATTTTCCGTTTAAGCTGGAGTTGGCCTGATTCTAGCATTTTGAGCTCAGGGCTCGGTCGTTCGTGAGTCTAGCATTGACGCATGGAAAGTTGTATGGGGAAACAGGCTCCCTTCGCTGCTAGGCTTTGCTCAGACTTTCTGATATAGTTGTAGCTTTGGGCCCAAGCTGGCCATCCGTGGCAGTGTCATGTCAAGGTTGAATCCCAACAGATCAAGATCCGAACCCGAAGCGCCAAATCCAAAACCCCAATCCCCAGACTTAAAGCTGCGAGCCCACCCAGTCCTAAATCCGAGGTGTCACCATTCCCCAAGCCCGGAATCCTAAAAACCCCACACCCGAAGCCTCAAGACTCCACGCCACACAGAGGAGATGTCTGTTCGCGGAGTCTTTTACGGAGTCGCGTTTGCTGCCGGGCTGAGCGCGAGGCCCGCAAATCAAGACTCTTCGGCCCTAACGCCTCGAAGATTTAGGTCTTGAGCCCTGACTGAACCCTAAGGCCCGCGTAAGGCTGAACCCAAATCCCCAAATCGGAACCCATTAGTCCCCAAAGCGTGACTCGAGTGACTTTCGGCTGCCGACAATAGTTAGTAAGCGCCGGAGGAAATGTTGACTTGGTCTCTATGTTGATTCGGTCTCTATGCTATGACATGGGGTGTGTGGACAGGTTTCAGAGGATGTTTATCGACGTGACATGCAAGCTGGTTAAATTCATGAGGTTGTTGATTTATTTTGGCATCCGTTTTGTTTAGAGGTTTGGCTTTACAACATTGGTATGTCTGTATATATATATATATATCAGCGTCGCACTGCAGTAGCTTTTTGTTTTCAAACTATAGTATCGCTATAGGCAAGGACTTTGCTTCAATTTTCTTCTCTCTACTTCAGATGCATACATGCACGCATGCGCGTACTTACACAGAAACGTACAGGGTAAGTTCGAGATTCGCGCAGCATGTGCGACCGTGAACATGGATGTTCGAGTGGAGTAGAGATAGTACCTCCTCTGGAAGTTATTTAATGTTAAAGCTTCGTGTCGTCCGCCTCGTCCCAGCTGTCCTTGAAGCAGGTGCATTGTTTCGGAAAGCAATGGGTAGGTGAGGTCTTGAATGAATGGGTGCATTTGCTTCAGACTGCTTTTTAATGTCCGTGTTTGTTTCATGCCGAGGCTCTGAGCACGCGAAAGGTGGCACATTCCCTTCGTTGTCCCGTAGACGTCACTGTAGAACTCGTAACACATGTCTCACTGGTCTCGTATACAGCCTCCCATATGTTCGAAGCAAGCTTTGCAACGAAGTACAAGACACAGCCCCAGAATTCCCAGCTTTGGCATCAATCTCACAAATGATGTAAGCTAACCGTCTTGAAGTGGGGGGGTGGCCGGGAGCGGGGGGCAGGGGTGGGGGGCGGGGAGTTGGCAGAGGGGCTGCAACTCTCCGCCAGTAGAATCTCTAGACGTCAGGGTCGCCAACCCGAAATCCAATTTTAAGGGCTAGGTGGGGGTTGGGTCACTGGGGAGAGGTGGGATAAAGGGATTCCCTGTTGGAAACTCTGACGGCTTCGGCCGGGGCGCAGGCGAAGTTATGACTTAGGCTTCAAGACGGAGCTCTAATTCGTCACCTTGAAGCGTATCCAATGAAAGTATGTATTCACCGGGAATCGCATATCAGGATTGGGGTGTTTTAAGGTTTCGCCTATCGCGACTCTTTGCAGGATGTTCAGCCATGAAGGTCAAGAAGCCTGGCTTCTCGTACATACAGGCCGAAGAATATTCCTCAAGGCACTACAAGTTTCAGGCGCATCCACCCTTTGTTTGGCGCCAGCACCTGAACCCCAAACCCCAAAACCGTTCAACCTCTCAAACCTCGCCGGGAGGCAAGTAAACGTGTTCGAGCACAGCCTCATCGAGGATGTTCTCTGCGATGCGGTGTCCTTTGCCGGTTATGGGGAGGCCTGGAATTGTGATTCGGGATGTGGGGGCATCAGGATCACTGTGTTCGGCGGGACACCAAAGAGCACGGCCTTGTCTTGTAGACGCCCCCGCAAAATAACACACTTGACAGTTCGATAGATATGCCTACTACCCTGCGATGCAACAGCAAAAACCCTAAAGGTCCTAAGCCCTACACCCGAAATGCCGAGCCCAAGCTCAAGCCTTGATGTATCGGTGACGATTGAACCAAGCAGTGCTTTGGGCTGTGCTGGTTATGGCATGGGCTCTGTAGGGTTCAACACTTTGGGCTTCAGGATTTTGGTTGTTTTGGGCCTTCAGATCTCTGAAACGACGTGCCTTAAACCCTTGCGACCAAAAGAGCTCCCTGCATGGGGATGCATGGCTTTGGGACAGAGGTGTCTGCAGTCTAGGGTCGGCAGCCGAAAGATGGCTGAGCGCGGTCCAGCAGCAGCACATTTTGCTGATGGTGACGGTCAGGGTGCTGACACTTAGCAGTGATGTCCGCTAAACCGTGGTTCAAAAAGGCCCTAAGCCCAAAACCAAATACCCAAAACCCCTAGTCATGCTGTAAGCCGAACAACACTAAACATCACAAAGCTCTGAGTGTATGTCCAAGCCCTAAAGCCCAAACGCAGTACCCCCTTAAACGAAACCTGTATAGAACCACTAACGGAACCCGGAAGGGAACTGTTCCCTTAGAAAAGAACTGTTGCAGGATCCCCAAACCTCAGACCCTAAATAGGAGCCTAAAGAACTACCAATACCGTTTTGGGGTTCCTTGTTGTAATTATAGTATAATATACCCCAAAACCTTTTTCTAATCATGAAGGCTCTGGTATTAGATCCTTTCCGGAGAGGTCCGCCATACGACGATCCGAAGAGTCGGCTCTGCCTGTGCCGCCGCTGCGGCCAAGGGCGAACCACCGGCGGGAGCAGGCCGACGGCCTGGGTCTTTGGGTTAGGGTTGCAGCTGTTAGGCTTCGGCTTCGGGTTCAGGGCTGAGGGCTATGGGGTTTAGGATTGAGGGTTTCGGGTTTGAAGCTCTCTTTTTGGTTTGGTCGTCTTACAATGTCCGTCCAAGGTTCGGCAGTAATGAGCAATCAGGTTACTTAGTCTTACTGTATACTCCTTTTAGCCCTTTCAGTACTGCATACCCCCTTAGCAGGTTCAGACTGTGAGGGTGCCGTGTCGTCAGGCTCGGACCTCTTTGTTGCAATCTCTTGTCCCAATATCATGTAGTGTCGATAGGGTGTGTGGTGCCTGTTAGATTCAAGACTCATGGCTTGACGGTTTCTGTGTACTTCTTCGGAAAGAAGACCTGGTGTTGCAGTGTTTGGGGATGAGCTTTGAAAGGCGGGTTTAGGCAAGCATGAGCGATGATTTGATGGTTTCCGATTCAAGTTTGAGAAGCCCCGCATGCACCCCAGACCTGCAAACCACTTGAAGTCAACTGAGCACCCAGGCTCTGTCAACACCTCATCACGGTGTGCCCTTCAGAGATCCTCTGACCCGCGTGCGCATCCTTCTCGTTAGTTTTCGGGTGGCAAGGCGGCTCTTGAAGCCTAAGCCCCTCCACTCGAAAATCTTTACAGACAACTTCGCTTTGGAGTTCCGGTGTGCATTGGGTTATTTGCCTAAGAAACCCTGAAACACCCGATCCCAAAATCCCAGATGAGATTGTTGTGAGATAAACACCCTGTGAGGAGTTTTCAAAGCCATGTGCAGCTTTGCAGACAAGCAGGTTTAACCCTTGCTGCCCGAAAACATAATTGGTTTGGACCCTGCCTTCACTGAACCGTAAGCACTAGGCCCCAACAGTTAAATCCTAGCCCATAAAGCCCGAAGCTCTTGTTCCGCTACGGTGGAGGTTTTTTCTGCCGTGGCAGCTGGGACGGCGGGCTCATCCACTCCAACCAGGCCGTTTTTGGGTTTGGTGTTTAGGGTTTAGGGAACTCTCCACGGTTTAGGGTTCATGTCCTGGGGCTTTTTTTTGGATTTGGATGGAAAGGTTGAAGAAGGCTACAGTCTAGACATAGCATTCCCACCTGTGGAACAGCAGATGCAGGCTCCCCGAACCGTGAACCCCAAGCATAAATATTCGAAGGCCGACCCGAGACCCGACATCTTATATGAGCCTTCAGGCAGACTCCTAAGCTTTACGGCCGAAAAGCCCGCTGCCGAACCTTTAAACCTGGGCAGCAAGCCAAAGGTGGTAGACACCTGTGGCATGTCCCTGGACGTGGACACATGTTCTCATCTGGATATCTTCAACAACACTTTCTCTGGACCAGGTGCTCGTGGCCGGGTACCTTCCGGTTGAGGGCTTGAGGTTTGGGGTATAGGTTGTAGTGTTTGCAGAGCGGTGAAGTTTGCGTTTGTGTGTCAGGGTTCTTCGAGGCCGAACAGGGCAACGCCACCCCCAACGCCTGGTTTGCTTAACCCGAAACCTTGTACCCAGTTGCCAGTTCCGTAGACCTCAAAACCCTGAAAGCCCCGGAGCAAATGCTGAACCCGGCTCTCAAACGCGCAGGAGTTCCACAGTTGTCGTATGCAGCCGCAAACCAAACCGCGAGCCATAGGCTACGACTGGGAAGGGAACTTCACCCACTGCTGGGGTGCGGTGACCGCTGTCTTGCTGGACTCGCAGATGGTGTCGGTGGCCTGGCGACCGAACAGCCGCTCCATGCGGGTCCAGTAAGGGTTTAGGATGTAGGGTTTAAGTTTTATCTTTGCGTTCGCTTCCAAGGGGCAGCAAGTCCTCCTTTCCATTAGCTTCTGTGGGTCTGTCGTGGGGAGGGTGATTACAGTTTGGTGATGCCCCGAGAATTTTCTGCCCTAGGGGGTGGTTTGGGCTTCCCTTCCCTTCAGGCTGTTTTCTGAGTAGCCAACCCTGCATTTACCTCCAGGCGTGTGGTACATGAAGATGACGCTTATGACAGCATCCCCTTGAATGGATCCCTGAAGAGTTGAATCCCCAAGCTAGTTGAAACACCTGAGCCACAAGTCCTAAAGCCCATGGCCTCAAATACTTAAACCTTACAATTGAACCGCAAACCTTTACACCTCAGGCCCATGAATTGCGCCTTACAGCCGAGGTGTCCAAGAACCTCATCAGCAACCTTCGAGAGTCCAACCGTCGTTTGGGCGGCAGAGAGATCACTGGTCGAAACTTCGGGAAGCTAAATTTGAGCTGAATCCAAGCTTTTCAGTGTTTAGGAAAGCTTCTCGCTGGTCCTTGCTTATGATAATGATGGTGATGGTGATGGTGGTGATGATGATGTTGACGCTGATCATCATGACGATGATGATGTTGATGATGATGTGGATGAGGATGATGACATGACGATGGCCTGTCTGTCTGTTGTCATGGCGACTGTCCCTTGTGCCGCTGTTTTTGTCGTTGCACATACTCTTATTGCTATTGCTGTTGTCATGATTGGTGTTGGGTCATCTTGTCGACTGCAAGCGGTACATGCATGCATGCCATGTGTGTGTGTGTGCATATGTGTGTGAGACTTCATGTGTGTCTCCGTACTGTTGCAATTTTGTTGTATATGTCATGGCTTCTGATGTGTTCAAACATTTTTACTTTCTCTTATACTCTATGCGCCAGCCCCCGCTCTAGATTGAGGAGGGTACTCTGCATCAGCTCCATACCCTGAACATTGAGACCCAAATTCGAAACCCCGAGCCCTCTCCGAAACCCTGAACCCTAAACCCTAAACCCTTGGGCGCTGAACCCTAAACCCTAAACCTTACACCCTAAACCCCTGAACCCTGAACCCGTTTAGGGCTTAGCCTAGCCGCAAAGCCCAGGGCTTGCAGTGTCCGATGGCGATATCCATCAGGTCTTTAGCTCCTTGGATTTCTAAAGCTTCGCCCCTGATGAAGAATAACTTGTTTATATGAATACTAACAATACGAGTAAGTAGTAGTAGTAGTAGTAGTAGTAGTAGTAGTAGTAGTAGTAGTTGCGTGAGGGTTCGGTATCGAAGATACGCTATATGCTCACCTCACCGAGCTTGTTGTTGTTGTTGTTGGGTATTGCCAATGTTG